AAAACGTGTTCTCAACGTCTCTTACTAAATAAAGGCCCACCTAAAAAACCTGTCACTGACAGCACAGGAATAGCTTGTCGTGCTGTCAAAGCTACAAGAATGTCAGTGAATGATGATCGTATGGAAGAAATTGATGCTAACGCTCTTCTTTCTAGTCTAGCTCATGATCTAAAGGAAGCCGCAGCAAAACAAAAGAAATCACCACCAGAAGACAATAGCACAGAACCAATGGAGAATTCTTCAGAGACTAAAACAACAGAACCAGCAAAGCTAGCAGATGAATCAGGAGAGGCAACAAAAACAGGATATCCAGCAGATGATATTAAAGCAAATAAAATAATTAGTGACATTGTCAAGGAGATTCCAAATGCAGAAGGTATATTCAATAGTAATTGGGTATACTTTATTGATTCTGGTGGCCAGACAGCATTTCAAGAGCTATTGCCTTTGTTCACTAGAGCATCCTCTTTTAACATCATCACACTTGACATTTCTAAAGGTATCGATAAGAAGCTCGAGCAGAAATATCGAATCAATGGAGGATTATTGAATCAAATTGATGAAAATAGTGCAGGTGATTCAAAGCCTTTTTCGTACACAAATATTCAGTTTTTAAAGGATGCTCTGTCTTCTGGAGCTATTTTACAGCCTTACCAAGCACAACAAACAATTGGATCAGAAGAGAACACCAGCACTGGATCTAAAACTCTTCGATGCCCAGATTATTTTGTTCTGGGCACACACAAGGATAAAGCAGATGAAGCAAATATCAATGATTATAATGAAGAGTTATTATCATTATCATCTGAGTCTGAAGAAAAAGGCTATCGCATCATTCCTGCCGTAGAAAATAGTCCTAAAATAATATACGAAGTCAATACAATGCTTGAATCTGGCCCTGAAAGAGAAGAGGAAGCCAAAAAGCTTTGCAGAATAATAGATTATGAAGTTTCTGGAAATAAAATCTGTATACCTGTTCGATGGTTTGCTTTTGAGCTGACTTTGCTAGAGAAAGCAGAGAAAGAAGGCCGCAGTTTCCTTCAGATAAAGGACGTCTTACGTGCTGGTGAAAGTCTTCAAATGACCGATGATCAAACAAAGGAAGCTCTACAATTTCTTCACAATTATACCATTATTCTTTATTATCCTCAGGTTTCCCCACAAGTTTCAGATTATGTATTCGTTGATCCTCATCCTATTCTTGATATTCTCTCGCGTTTATTGGTTCATGCTACTTATCAAATACCACGAGAACATCTTCCACACTTTTTAAAGAAAGAACTCTCAAATCCTGAAAAGAGTGATCTAAAGTTGAAAGGCTTATTCACTCTAGAACTCCTGGAAAAGTTAAAAGATGATGAGGATTTTCCTAAGTCTGATTTTATCAACCTTTTGCTTCACCTTCACATCATTGTTGAGACAGATGAACAGAATGAAAGTAAAGAAAAAAAATATTTCATTCCTTCTGCATTGCCTCCTTGCCCTAAAACCAGATCACCTCCAGAATCAGATATTGACCCATTGCAAATAATCTGGCGTAGTCCTGAAAGTAAACACAATTCCCAGATTTTGCCTGTTCCCCGTGGAATTTTTCCTTTGGTAATTGTCAATTTAATGAAGCGCAAGAAGCAACCAATATTTGATTTTCCTCTAAAGGATAAACTGAATCTACTCAGATATCGAGATGCTATGTCGTGGCGCCAAGATGATCAACCCGGTACCATTCATATCATTAAGAAACACAAACACATTGAGATTTATTTTGACAGTGATGCTTCGAAAAACTGTTTGAAGATTTGTGAAGCAGTAAAAGAAGCTATTACCAGCAGCTGTGAAGCTATTAATATAAAACCTGATGGTTTTGAGTTTGCCTTTGCCTGCCCCTCCTCTAAAAATGGCTGGTATCATATTGTCAAAAAATTTTGGAGCTGGTTTGACCAAAAGAGCTTAACTGAAGGTAATTTAATCTTTACATTCTCTCTTTCCTTTTTTCATTATTTATAATACTCTTAGTCACTCAAATATCATTTTACCTTTTATAATGTAATTAATTATTATCACATATCACTGACAATATTCTGAACCAGCAGCTGTTGTTTACTTGTACGTATTTCATGTGTAATGAGATTCAGTGTGCACCAACTGCATCATACCTGATGAAATTAAAACTACATTGTCTTAATTGTTTTTACTCTTCCCCAAATTCTTCCACAGTTTTAGATGATACCACACAAGGCAATACAGCACCAGATTCTACTACTCCTGATGATGAAGCCACAATAAGTACTGTTCAAGCAGGAAAAGGTATTTCATAAATTTAAATTATAATCCCTTATCTTCAGAAACAAAATTTCAAAATTTTGACATGTGTATTACCTAGATCTATATAATTATTATAATTTTCATAAATGCATACCTTAAATTTTTTGAACTGAATTTTGCAAATTTGCCCATTAATATATTTTTGAAGATTTAGTTTTTAAGAAATTACACTCCTTGCCACCTTGTGCCATTAAAATTTATTTTTACGGGTTTAATTTTTTTGTTTCTTAATTGTGAAATCTGAAAAATTCACAATCATCATTAATTTTGCACTGTATTGTATTTCTTATAAGTATTATCAGAATGTGCAAGTAAAGTTTTGTAACTCTTCACTATTTAGCTCTTATGTACACACAATTTAGTGATGCTGTGATAAATCATAAAAATGCTAACTAAAAACTAAAGGACTAACACTGATACATAAAATACAATAGCATATATTCAGACCCACCAGAATGGCTGTATCATGATGAAATCGTGGGATGTGTCCCTGAAACCCCAGATTTTCATGAAGATCTTGTTAAAGATATTGAAATTCTACTTATGCCAGCCATTGAAAAAGAAGAAGAACCAGTTGTTTATTATCTGAAGCAATCATCTAAAAAGTTCATTGAAACATACATTGATGGTCTGAGGGTATACATAGGGAATTATGGAAAAAGCAAAGTTGTTGTTGTGATGACCGCACTAGACAAGAGCAGGCAGGGTCCGATTCATGCTAATGCCATCACCTCAAAAATGTTAGAAAAGGTTCCGAGCATCAAATATGTTGTTGCTGTTGGTGTCTGCTTTGGCATGGATCCAAAAAAGCAGAATTTAGGTGATGTTATCATTTCAGGCACGATCTGTGATTTCACAAATAAACGTGAAGGGTTGGGTGAAAATGAGTATCAGAGAGGCCCTCAACACCAAGTAAAGCCAGCTATTACACACAAGTTCCGACCTCCTCATGGTTTTAAAATGCCACACAATATTACAGTCTCCACTGGTGTCCTTATATCTACATGCAGTCTGATCGATAATCCTGACATTAAAAAGAAATTGCTTGACCAAAAACCTGATGCTATTGCAGGAGAAATGGAAGGAGCTGGAATAATGGCTGCTATTGATTATGCCCCTGAACATGGTGTTAGTGCTATTGTCATCAAGGGTATTGGTGACTGGGGTGATGGTGACAAAAAATCCATCCACTAAAGGATGGAAGCCATTTGCAGCCCGTGCTGCTGCTCTATATGTGTATGCTGCGCTAAATAACTGGCAACTTCAATAAGTAACTGGCTTTGTAACTGACTAATGAGTGAACATAGACTTTAGTTCTAATGAGTAAATTTAGATTTTAGTTTAATTAGTTTCAGTAAAACAAAATTTTGATAAAAGTGAATTTCAATTTAGAAAGGTTCACATTAACAATCATGATCACTGTATTTAATGAATGAGACATACAATATCAATAGACAAATCACAGCACACTGACTCACAAAAAGTTATGCTTTGAAAAATTTGTGTGTAAAATTATGCTAAGTGTGTTAAATGTAGTTGCTAACCTATCAAATCATGAGTACCATCAAAAGTACATGATACATGTAACATCAGGTACTCTTGGTACCATAATATGGTTAGGAGTCACTCAAAAGACTCCATTTACTACAGCTATTATAATAACTTTTGTTCTTAGGTGGATCTTCACTGAGTAAAGCTAATAAGCAACGAAAGTAAGACTATATATGATCAAACTCATTGTCTAACTATATTATATCAGTCCTTTATGCTCCTTCATGTGCAGTGGATGGGTTATTCTTCCTCTTTGCTTTGCTGTTGTAGCTGTTGCACTTATGATATACTTACCATCATAC